ATTATACTTTTTTTTATTGTTCAAATTGTTGTCTTACATATTTGCGTTAAAGCTAAAACTTATTGCATTTATTGCAAAACTGCAAAACAGCCAAAATAGCCTCGTTTGTGATTTTGTTATCAACATTTAGATATGAGCAAAAGCTTTACACAAAAGCACAGTTTACAAAGATGTAATTGTGTGTAAAATATCTTTATATAAGTTGTTAAGGACTTGGTTCAAATATATTCTGTCCAAAAAACTATGTATAAAATACGTTAACCGTGTGGACATTTTTTCTATATTTACGATAGGTCATAGTTCATCTGTCATGTAACAAATACTAGAACTTAACATACTCTCGTAAAGTTAAAACGATAAACACTGGCACATGTACATATTATCTTAATAGATTCCCCATTATTCAAATAAGTATCTAAAGTATTGAAATACTTAATTTTGAACTATATTTTCTGATTGATACTGATCAGTACACACAAAGCTATGCTGAGACGAAACACTATTTTATCAAATATATCATTATTAAACCTATCACAAATCAGAACATATAAGTCTGAAGTTATATTAATACAAACGTATGATACCGATTTCAGTGGGAGTTGCAATCTAAGGTTAATTTAAAAATAACACATTTTAATTAAAACTTTGGTCAATTTTTTTTTTCAAGTCTCAACAAATTGTAAGCTTTTATAGAATAAATTGAAATTTCAACTTCTTGGGGAAAAATTATAACATTTTTGAATAAAACTTGTAGGAAATTAGACAAAAATGTTACTAGCATTGCGATTTGTCTTAGGAGTCTATATTCTACCAACATTTTCAGCTCTCTGTCATTTTCAGATTGGACGGAATACATTCAGACTTGTATTAACGTTTGTAATGTAATATATTGTCAAAAATGTTCTTCATATGTTCGATCCGGCATTTAAGAGTACTGTTCACAATATTATATATGTGTTTGGAATATTTATATTTGGAATAATTGTATGTTATCATCTTAAACTGAAAAAAATCACGTTTATATTAATTTTTTCAGCTCTAAAATTCATTTTTGTTAAACTAGATGAAAGGTGCTTTATCTTTATAGATATATCATTCTGTAATCAAAAATATAAGTCATAATATAAGTTCATTCAAACCATGTACAACTCAGTTTGTTGTGTGTATCAAACACTTGTAGCTGAGGTTGATGGTTTGGTTGCACTGCTATCAGTATCAGAAACTTTTTCTTCGTGCATTCTTCTGTACACAATCAAATTTTTCACTTGATGACGGAATCGCCTGTCAAATGTAGCGTAAATAAAGGGATTAACTACGTGGTTAACCAGGTATGCCCTTTGTACAATTTTAAGCAAGGAAAACGTAAATAAGTTCATTTTCTTCTCGTTTAAACCTTTGGTTGCCCATTCATTCACAAATAAAGGAAGATAGCTAAAGGCAAACACAGTGCTCACTGTAAAAGCAATTTTGGTCATCTTCTGTGAATCATTTGTTGATTTCGCTGGTTTTATTTGTTTCCCTTGAAGTTCCTTTTTCCGTTTTTTGTTTTGAATCTGGATGGTTCTACCAATTAGTATATAAAGCACGAGCAATATAAATGCATACAGTAGAAAAATGCTCGTGAGGAAGGTGTTGTAATTTTTCCAAGACTGAGGTGAATCCTTCCATCCCACAGAACATGAATAGCCAGTTATGTTGTTGCCTAGATCTGTCGTTGCAAGCGGTTGCAAAACAGCAATCTGTGGTATTCCGAGTATGACACCTATTGCAAAACATCCAGCAATGAAATATGATACAGTTGTTAAGGTTAGTTGTCGCCCAAGAGGTAGACAGACTTGTCGGAATCTATGAACTGACAATAGCATCAAAAGATGTGCTGTCGTTATGATTCCAGCGTCCAGCATTCCTGCAATCACTTGGCAAGCTCGCAATGACTTAAAATTGTAGTAGTTGAACATTCTACCGAGATTAAAAGGAGAACCAATCATGACGAACACCAAGTCAAGAGCTCCGATGGTCCAGATAATTTTTCTGTATACGTTTTTGTTGTAATTTCTGTATATGATAAGAACGAATTTGTTACCAGGAATTCCAATAATAAGAACAATTATAAGGTACACAATAGGTGCAAGAAGTCTTTCACGGACTAGTTTATTCGTATGATCCTCTTTTGTTTGAAAGTCCATCACTGTCGTGTTATCCATGTTTATTTCGCGATTTTCCCAGGTTAAACCTAAGACTTTGAAAGAAGCAATTTATTATTATATAAGCCTGGTATCTTTGATGATTTTTTTCTTAAGTGCGTGCCATGTATATACTGATACTGGGGTTAAGAGTGTACACATATTTAGGATATACTTATAAAATCAATGTAGTATCTCCTCACTTTAATCTCGGCCTTTAAATACGGAAGTTAAACTAAAAAAAAATAAAGCTTTCATGTCGATCTGGTCCCAAGTCGGGATGATTATGCAGTTATAACATTTATTTTTATAAAATCATTATTAGAAATTATAAAGTTATATATCAAAAATATTTGGTATGCATACTTAAACTTTACGTAAAAACATATGTTACTGAAGTTAGTGTAATCATTCACCTTAATCAGCAATTTTTCATATGACTTCGATCTTATTAATCTTTTCAACTGGTGTCATAACCCAATTGGTTAATACACAAGAGTGATCCCAAAGCTAATGCACACAAACATTTTGCTCTAGTGACGAATCCCTTCCATAAAAAGTTAATTACCTGTTGTCATTGATTAATACTGTTTCCTAAAAGTATTCCTCCGATCAGCAAAAGTACACATTTTTTTCATGTGCAAATTGCCTCTTTTCTTGAATCAAATACTACACAAAACTCTCCGACTTTTATAGTAATTATTCATTATTTTATTATGGGCCGAATCAACCTGGGGCCGGATGGTTTGAAGCCGGAACGACCTGATACCGAAAAAAACGTATAACACTCTTTTGAACAAGTTTGTCAACATTGCCTTGCATAATTCATACATATTTTGTGTTTTTAATTTTAAGCATTAAAAAGACTCTTAAAATGAAAATGTTGATTTTTAACCGATAAAAAGTACTTCAAACGATTAAGCGTATGTTTGTTTAAAGCCATGACATTTCAAATCACATATTATACAGAACATTACGAAATGGCTGGATGTAACATGTTTCTGTTTTAGGACACAAAATATGACATCTATGTTATTTTTTTGTCATAATTTGCCCAAAACAAATAGCCAACAGAGACCAGTCATAATAGAAAAAAACACCAACACTACCTCAAAATAATTTGAGCATTTAAATAAAAGCTCTCTGGAGTCGTTTTCACAAAAAAACTTTCGACTAAGATTGATCATAAGTCATGAACAATTCAGTATACTTACGATCAATCTTAATTTATTTAATGTTTAGTTACAAAATTGTATTTATTCATAGTGTCCTTAGATCACCACTATTTAAAACATTTTAAATTTAACATATTTTGCATAAGATTACATAGAGAATGTCTATCCTTTCTCTTTTTAAAATGAGATAAAAGATTTTTATTACCATGTTTTAAATTGGTACCAAATTTCAAGTAACTGCAAAGCACTTTTTTTTTACATATTTCAATACAGCATTGATGTTATCTAACCATTAATAAGGAAAAGGTAAGTAAACTAGAAACGAAACTTGTTACACAATTCTTTATCTAGAGCCCTTTTACACAGATATATCATTTAGAGCACCACCATTAAATATTAAGTAGGGGTTCCCATGACCCTGGCTAACACACAAGCTATGAGGCACATATCTAATAACATTGCCGAAACCAAGAATCTGGTGATGTTTCAACCTTTTAGTACATATAGATGTAATGTATTGAAAATATTTTGCTAGAACCTTGTTATTCCAACATTTGGGTCCGTTGAAATTTTGGCAGGGGTTCCCCTTACCCTGCCTGATCCATAAGGTCTTAGAAATCAATTTTTCTTAAAATCTGCCTTTAGTAAAGTTGACCTTAAACTTTCCCTTTATCATGTATCTGTAGAAGTTTTATCCAAATGATGCAAGGAAAATCATTGGTTTAAAAATTTTTTATTCTTAGTAACACAAGAGACATATATACACACATTGTAGTAGCAACATTGAAATTTGTCTCATTGATTCCAAACAAATAGGCTTCTTCCCATAATTGCATTCTCTATATCTTCCATTGGTATCATTTTTTTTATTCAAGCAATGGAAACTAAACATTTTATGCAGACAGCTAAAGCGATGACTATGCTTCCCAAAAACGTATTTCAGGTAGCATAATAAAATATAACATTTATCTTCAACTGTTTAGGTTCTTATACATCCTTAGCTTTCAAATATTCGGCTTTGAGCGTTCCTATTGAAGGTAAATCCAGAAAAGCACTTCGGACGCATGCAATTTATAAAGTGTTGTTTCCATTTTTTATCAATGAACAAGGAATGACATGCATGTCAGACAACTTCTGTCAGACACATAAACCTTAACAGTGATGCTATAATATCAAATATAATTGGCCTTCTGCTTAAAATATCTGAGAGACTGACCTTAATAGAAAAACTGTACATTGACTTTTGAACCATCAAAATGGTGTCAATGTTCGGTTTACCTGGCGGCAGAAAGACATGTACACATTATGAATATACAGATCAAATATAGTTGAACTATTAATTATAGTGAGAAAATATTTAAAGCACAAAAATTGAACTTTTGTAATTTTTATAGATGTCTTAGTGCTTTATATGAGGTTTTACTGTCAGATTTTTGTAAGGTTATGTTGCACTGTTTTATTATTATTTATTTGCATGCTGCATGCTTCAATGTTGTTTTATTTGTTACTGTATATGTTTAAAATGCTTGTCAATATTTCAAATCAAAATTAAATTTTACTTACTTTCTTATTTCCCCAAACTATATTTACTGGGATATATAAATTGCATATAGTAAGTGACAAACGATTAGAATATGCAAAACTGATTGTATAATTATTTTAATTAAAGCATAATGATTTCAATAACTCTCAATACTATAAGCTAGTGAAAAAATAACAGAGGTATTTGTTAATGATTTTAAATTTCAAAATCCTTGATTAATGCTAGCCTGTGCCAACATATTAATAGCTGTCAGAGCTTCAGCAGCGTCAATTTGTTCACCAGATGACCCACATTCTACCTCATATTGAACAGCTGGCTGCTCATACACAAACATATGTGATACTTGGTTCTCATCATCAGGATTACTGATGTAATAACTTGATTCCACTGTCATTTGATTTTCCACAGTTGTACTAGGCAAGGCGATGTGAGTTGAATCAGACAGGGGTATAGTATATTCACCTGGTACTGTTATACTCTCCATCACTGTTTCAGAGTTTGTATATTGCACTGTATTTGGTATATGTACTTCATTCTGTGACATAGGAATTTCATATTTAACACCAGATTCTTGTATTAAGTCTATGGTACATCTACGGGGTATATGTACTTCAGTCTGTGATATAGGAATTTCATATTTAACACTAGTTTCTTGTATTAGATCAATGATAGGTCTTCGTCTATATGAATGTTCTGGTTTAACAGATTCATGTGTCTCCAAATGTCGCTTCAGATATTCTTTCCTATAAAATCCTTTACCACATATCTCACAAATGTGGGTTTTAATTTTCTCATGTTGAGACTTGTTGTGTCTGTACAAACTCCCTAAAAAAATTAAGAACATTACTACCTAATCCCATATCCAAGTGAAGAAACACACAATATATTTTGTAATGATGTTTATGTGTGTGAAAGTATTGCACATGTATTTAAATTTTTCTGTTTGGATTTTTTTTTATCTCACCGGGAAATCTAGGTGTTTAGAGTTGTACAAATTTCTTATAGGCTTGTATGCAAACTTTGGCACAACTTTGAAATCAAGTATCTATGTAAATACAATTTTTCCTCAATCCAGGAAAAATAATAGAACAGTTCCAATGTTCTCCGCATTGCACACATTTTATCTGTTCTGTCCAAGGATAATAACTTAAAAATTTTTTTGTTCTTTAAAACTTTTTAAAATTATCTTACTAGAGAGTTGAAAACTTGAGAGCAATTTCCGATATATTTAATATTACCAAAGGAAATTCATTAAAAATATTTGATCGGCGCTTACTGTTGAAATTGTCTGTGACATTGCTGTTATATACCTTTCATATAAATTTGATAAAAATCTGGCAAAAATTGAACATGCTAGAGCACTTACAATACAATTTTCCATATAATCAATGTTTCAAAGGGCATAACTCTTTTAAAAATAATTGATCGGCACTGATTTTCAAACTTGTTTAAGATATCCCTAATATAAACCTATGATATAACTTTCATCAAATTCTAACAAGAATTGTACACATGAGAGTGCTAACGATGCAATTTTCCATATTATTAATGTTTTCAAGGGCATAACTCTTTTAAAAATAATTGATCCACATTAATTTTCAAACTCGTCCAAGACATAGCTGATATAAAGCTATGATACAAGTTTCATAGAAATCTGTCAAGAATTGTACAAATGAGAGCGCTAACAATGCAATTTTCCATATAATTGAAGTTTCTAAGGGGCATAACTCTTTTAAAAACAATTGATCAGCACTGATTTTCGAACTAGTTAAAGACATTGCTGATATAAATCTATGATGTAAGTTTCATAAAAATCTGTCAAGAATTGTACAAAGAGAGTGCTAACAATGCAATTTTCCATATAATTAATGTTTCCAAGGGGCATAACTCTTTTAAAAATAATTGATCGACACTGATTTTCGAACTCGTCTAAGAAGCTATGGTATAAGTTTCATAAAGATCTGGCAATTTGGATATCGCTTGATATCAACTCTCATTATTCAATTTAAATAGTGGCTTGTATACTATTGTACTAAAATAAAAAATCTCAAGTTGGTATCAAACGATATCCAATTCTTACTCGTTATGAAATCTATAATTCTCTTTTCTCAAATTTTTTGTCAATTATTAATATTTAATTTTCTAGTGAAGTACTTAATCTATGTTCCCACATATCATTATATCTAGCAAATTTATATCATCAAGTAAGAGTAATCAGACATTTACTTTTCTTATTCTTATCATCAGCATTCTTGTAATCTTTACACGGACACAAATGAAAGAGTGATGTTAAAAGAAAATATCAAATGGAAAGGATGCTGTGTTTTTTAATTTCAAGTTCTTACCAAAAACAGAACATAATTTCTGTTGACTTTTTTTTAAATTTCAAGTCATAACCAAAGGTAGACCATAAATTCAACTTTTATAAAATGAAGTTGCACAAGTTGTGCTGTTAGCACACTCTGTAGTAATTCAAAGTATCAGCAAACAGGAAGCTTGATGAAAATATTTGTTCATCAAAAACATTTAAACAAGCTGATGGAAAAGGTGATTACAACATGATTGCACATTGTCCTGTTAAGCATACCCCAACTCATAATTCTAAGTACACAGGAACATTAATTTAAAAAAAAATAATTCGTAAGGGTTCTGCGTAACCCAGTGTCTCGCCTACTTTTGCTGTTAGTTCCAGGCTCAACAAAAATGGGGAAAAAATTATTAAAAATTTTCCTCTGGATACTATCTTTTGATTGTAAGAAGCTTCTATCCAAGTTTGGTAAAAATCCAGGATGGTTTATGAATCTAATAAATGTTTAAAAACTTTAACTGCAGGCTATATGTAATGTTAACTGGAAGAAAAACTAAGTCCATTTATAAGTAATATACGGAAAAACAGGAAATAAATTTTTACAAAATTTCCTTCTAGATACTAGCTTTTGATCATAAACAAGCTGCTTCTGTCCAAGTTTGGTAGAAATCCAGGATAGTTTAAGAAAGTTATTAAAACTTTAAAAACTTTAACCAAAGAGTGACTGTAATGTTAACTAGCAGAAAAACTAAGTAAAATACGGATAAACAGGATTTTTTTTTTTACAAAATTTACTTCTGGATACTATCTTATGATCATAAACAAGCTTCTGTCCAAGTTTGGTAGAAATCCAGGATAGTTTAAGAAAGTTATTAAAATTTCAAAAACTTTAACCACAGAGTGAATATTTGTGGACGCAGCCGCCGCCAACGATAACGACGCCGAAGACAGAATGTAGGATCGCTATGTCTCGCTTTTGCGACAAAAGTCGCAGGCTCAACAAAAATCAAGTTAAAACATTCATGAGTAAACTAGATGATCAGAATGAGACTTAAAAATCTGATGCCTTATTGTTTTGTTACTTACTTCTTGTAGTAAAATCTTTGTCACATTCGTCACATCTAAATATTTCAGGTGTGTAAGGATGTTTACATTGCATGTGTTTCTCATATCTATTTTTGGTTCTAAAAACACGACGACACAGCTCACACTTCACCATAATATTTCCACCTTTCTCATGTATGTTTATGTGGGATTTCAAACTGATACTTGTACTAAATCCTTTTCCACATAAATAACACCTAAATAAAATAAAAACATGAATTTACATCAACAAAAATTCATTTCATTGAACAAGTTAGTAACTAAGTCAAGAACTGTTCCTTGTACAAGTGCCAAATATTTTAAAAAAAATTCATTGTATTCATTTGAATACTTATGATCAGCTACTCTTTTCACAAAAAATCTTACGAGTAAAAACACTCATAAGTCATGAACATTTCAGTATAACTTAGGATCAATTTTAGTCGTAGGACTTTTTGTGAAAAGAATCCCAGAATTCTAACTACTTTTGGAAAGGAGTAAGTTTAGTGAGGGCCATATTTGGCCCTGGAAATTAAGTCCATAGTTTGAAGATTAAAAACAATTTCAAATTGATGTAAAGACACATAAAAAAGTGAAATAAATCTATTTGTGTTCAGCTTTTTTATAAGTTGTTAACATTAACAACCCAAATAGGTCAAAAATAGAGATTTTGATGAAATTTGACAAAATCATCTGTATTTCTACCAAATTTAGGCCTCGTAAACATAGAGAGCAGGCTTTGACTTACTAAATATTCAAACATATGTAAAATGTTACAACAAACATAATGTAAAAAAAGCTTTCTTGGCAATGCATCATTGTTTCCAGTCCAAAAAATCAATGAAATTTTACCTGAGTGTTATTTGTGACATCATAAAAAGAATGCTTATATGTAATAATTTTGAACAAAAAGGCTAGTCATTGTTTTTAATATGATTCAGTGTAATATTGGTCAATAAATCCTAATTCGAAATTTTAGCTAGACAAAGGGGCCATATTAGGGCACTGTTGGCAGGGGAGACTACTCAAATTTAAAATGAAAACAAAATGTTCTACAAATTAACATTAGAAAAAAATAATAAATAAATGTGGATAGTGTCCACATGTGGACATAGATGATGCCCCCCCCTTTCATATCATATAGTTATAAAGGGACATAACTGAAGAACGGTAAAAATGACGCTACCCAAATTTGAACTTGATCTGAGTTTTGTGGTAATAAGCATTGTGTGTAAGTCTCATAACATTTGATTGAGGCTAACTTAAGTAGAGAACAGAAACTAAAAATTCAGCAATTTTTCTATTTATAAACATGCATAACTCTAGAATGGTTGTGTATAAGTTTTATAACATTTGGTTGAGACAAACTAAAGTAAGAGAACGACAAAAGAAAAATTCAGCAATTTTTATGTTTATAAATGGACATAACTCAAGAATAGTAAAAGTGTCGCCACCAAATTTCGTAATTAATCTGTATTATGTAGTAATAAGCATTGTGTATAAGTTTCACAACATTTAATTGAGGCAAACTAAAGTTAGAAAACGCAAAAAATTTGTACTTGATCTTAGTTTTGTGGTAATGAATATTGTGTATAGGTTTCATAATGTTTGGTTGGTTAAAGTGACACTACCCAAATTCAACTTGATCTGTGTTTCATCAGTGGGAGTCAAAATTGAACATTGCATTGTATAAAGCATTGATTGTAGTTGATTCAACTAAAATCATGGACAAAGGAAGATAACTCCAATTTTAAAAATTACTTGATATTTAAAAGAAAATAAAAATTTTGCAATTTTTCCATTTATAAAGGGGCATAACTCTAGAACAGTTAAAGTGACGCCACCAAAATTCAAACTTGATCTGTGTTTTGTGGTAATAAGCATTTTGTATAAGTTTCATAACATTTGGTTGAGGCAAAATTAAGAAAGTGAACAGAAACTAAAAATTTTGCAATTTTTCCATTTATAAAGGGGCATAACTCTAGAACGGTTAAAGTGACGCCACAAAAATTCAAACTTGATCTGTGTTTTGTGATATTAAGCATTGTGTATAAGTTTCATAACATTTGGTTGAGGCAAACTTAAGTTAGAGAACGGAAACTAAAAATTTTACAATTTTTCTATTTATAAAGGGGCATAACTCTAGAACGGTTTAAGTGACCCCACCAAAATTCAAAGTTGATCTGTGTTTTGTGGTAATAAGCATTGCGTATAAGTTTCATAACATTTGGTTGAGGCAAACTCAAGTTAGAGAACGGAAACCAATTTTGGGACGTACGGACGGACGGACGTACATACAGACGAACAAGGGTAAAACTTAATGCCCCCACCGCTACAGCGGGGGCATAATAAATGAGTGAGTAAAGATATCTCAAAATGTTTTTTTAGAGCTCTAGTTCAAATATGACAATCATCTTTGACTGCACAAATGATTTACCGTAAATAGGTTTCTTTTCACAGTTTATGGTATGGTTTCAAGGGCCAAACCATTCCACGAGGTTTTGTTTTCACAGTTGTACTTGGCTTTTAGTTCTGATGTTTAATAAAGATCAAAATTAAGCAAAGGAATATTTTCACATTTTGCCAATGTTGCAAAATTACTGAAAATATACCCTAGCAAATATTTTAACCATGCATTAATACAATAACAAAATGATGTATGCTTTCTTCTAAAAATATGGCAAAAATAACTGATTAGGTGAAAACCTGATTTTTTTTAAAGGCAGATGTAAAAACCAGATTAGGAAGGATGTCTTAAGTATATTTGTTTCTGTCTTATTAATCTATTTTTATAATTGACAAAAGACAAGTGATGACTGTATCTTCCTATATACTTCACTGACTTTTTTTCCCTAGAAAATCATGTTCAGTGAAAAAAAAACAAATTTTGAGAAATAAAAAGGGCACCCCACCCCCTTCCTTTCTTATCTATAAATTGTAAATTACATTGTCGGTATTTAAAAAAAGTATTCTTAAATAGTTTTTTCTTCTCAAGTGGTGTAAACTTTCCTTTTTTGTTATCATAAATAACTAAATTGAACAGCAAGGTGAAGTTGCAATATCAATACAAGCTACTGTATCAAGTTTTTAAAGGGGATGAACTTTAACATATGAAAACACTATATCAAAAGTTAAATCTAATCTTTATAAGTATAAATGAGAGAAACTTGTATTTTCAAAAATATTTTTAAAACAAAAGATTTTAAATAGAAGGATATATAAAAATCAATGTGAAAACTAATTACAAACACTATTTTGATTAGGGACATAAAATCTTATTCCAATATAGCCAGTGACACTTTTTGTTTTTAATATCTGGATTACGATACAATGAAATCTTCTCCTGTTGGTCATTCATGCATAGTTACTTAGAACACGGGAAAAGTATGTACTATGAAAATTAGAAGGCAAATTCAAACAATATGATTGGACGAAAAGTTGTAAGTATGTGCTAAATTATATATTTAATATGTTTCGCATATTAAAATACTCTCATTGCAATAAACAACCAGATGAGCAAGATTTAAACATATCAGCTTTTTTGTGTTAACCCCATCAAAAGAACCTGAGTAGAAATCACACAATTAAGATAAGTTTTAGTACTGTAAATTCAGAAATAATTGCAATGCTTTCATTAATGTGAAATTGTACAGTATCAGATTAGCAATAATAAAGACTTGCATTCCTAAAATATTCTCCCAGCTTAAATTTTCACTTCACAGAAATACGACATGATGAATGCTTTCTTCGAAAAATATGGCAAAAATAACTGATTAGTGAAAATCCTTTTTTTTTTCCAGTCAAAAGTAAAAACCAGATTAGGAAGGGTGTCTTAAGTACAACTTGTTTAGGTCTAATTAATTGATTATTGTAATTGAGGAAAAACAAGTGATGACTGTTTCATCCTATATACTTCACTGACTTCTTTTTCCTAGAAAGTCATGTTCAGTGAAAAAAAAAAAAAAAAAAAATTGAGAAAATAAGGCACCCGCTTACTTTTATAATTTGTAAATTGTTATTTACATTGTCGGTATTTAAAAAAAGTATTCTTAAATAGTTTTTTCTTCTCAAGTTGTGTAAACTATCCTTTTTTGTTATCACAAATAACTAAAATGAACCGCAAGATGAAGTTGCAGTATCAATACAAGCTACTGTATCAAGTTTTTAAAGGGGATGAACTTTAACATATGGAAACAATATATCATTTCTAGACATGGTATTAGTAAAACATTAAAAGCGATCTTTTTCATCATAAATAACCAACTTTGGAACATGTACTAGATGGAATGAGGACCCAATTATTTCCCCCATTACTTCAATGCAATTTTATCCAAATTGAGGGGCAGATTTTTTATTCCCTTTATTAGACTGCAAAATTTCAATTACTTTTTCATACTAGTAGCCCCCTTCATGGTTTCTGGGAGACTTCTTGAAAGGTCATGACTGGCATTTAAGAAGAGCAAAACTGTTTTGAGTATTAATAGGGTCATTTTATTTACTTCCTGGTTAAAATCAAAAATAAAATTTGGACCCTTTACTCAGACAATCATTCCACCCTATACATTCATGACATTTCAGAATCACCTACAACAAATTTAAGCATCTTTACATAATTTTCAACCCGGTACAATATCCCATTTAAAAGATGGTAGATTTATTAAGGGACTTCATTCGTGGGTATTGGACTGGTATCCTGTAACTGGGATCCAATTCCAGATATAAGATAAACCTGGAATAACATAAATCTTTATCTTAATACAGTGATCTTTTCTCAATATTGATTACTTCCAATAATGTGACTGGTTAAATATTGCAATAATAAGGACTTGCATTCTGTTATCTGATATATATATATCTTAAAGAAGTTTTTCCTGAAATCACAATAATTAACCTCACAGTTTTGTCCAGTCTTCAAAAATCACAATAATAAATGCACTCAATAATTTCTGAATTTACAGTATCTATGTAACTAACATTTTCTGTGAATTTAGTTCTAATATACCTACCTGGTACAATGACATTATACATAGAATCTATTTTGCATATTAAAATACTCTCTTTGAAATAAACCAAGGATTTGTATAGTAAGATCTTACTATACAAATCCTTGAATAAACACAAAGATGAGCAAGATTTAAACATATCAGCTACTGGGAGTAAACCCCATAAAAATAACCTGAGTAGAAATCACCAATTAAGATTAGTACTGTAAATTCAGAATAAATTGCAATGGTATTATTAATGCAAATAAAATGCTTCGCTGAGGGCAGCCTGATACGACCGCAGAGGTCGAACTCTGAACAGTTGGGGCAAATTTGGACACATATTCAAGCTTGATACTGTCTGAATTTGGATTTTGATCAAATTTTTGACATAATATAGGTTTCTGACACAAAATAAATGTGGTCAAAGATCTTACAAATCTATTGCGCAATACTGTGCAATTGAAGGTTTCTTCTTTCTTCTTGAAACTTTTCAAAAATTTGAAATTTGAAATTTAAAAAAAAAAAAATATAAACCCCTTAAATAATATCCACCCCTCCCTAAACTTTTTGAATCCCTCCTTGGAGCAATTACCCCCAAACTCAATGCCAGCCTTTCCTTTGTAGTATGAAACCTTGTAGTACAATTTCAGAGAGATCCATTCACTTAACACAAGTTATTGTCTGGAAATTAGAAAAATGCTTGTTTTTGGCCCTTTTTTTACCCCTTATTCCTGCATGTTTGGGGCAATTACCCCCAAACTCAATCACAGACTTCCCTTTGTGATATGGAACCTTGTGGTACAATGTCAGAGAGATCCATACACTCACACACAAGTTATTTTCCAGAAACTACAAAAATGCTTGTTTTTGGCCCCTTTTTGGCCCTTAATTCCTAAACTGTTGGCACCATAACCCCCACAACTTCTACTTGTGGTATTAAACATTATGATACAATTTCAGAGCAATCAAAATACTTATACACAAGTTAATATCCTGAAACTAGAAAAATGCTTGTTTTGGGCCCCTTATTCCTAAACGGTTGGGACCATCATCCCCAAAATCAATCCCAACTTTCCTTTTGTGGTATTCAACCTTCTTTAAAAATTTCATAGAGATCCATTAACTTAAACTAAAGTTATTGTCCGGAAACCAAATGTGTCTTCAGACGACGACGCAGACAACGACATCATACCATTATACGATCCCAAAAAATTTTTTGCGGTCGTATAAAAATGTAACACTATCAGATTAGCAATAATAAAAAATTGAATTCCTTATTTCAGTAGTGGTTTTCCTTCACTAAATTTTTGCAATTGCATAGATTAGTCTCATCATTAGATCATGGCTTTTTAACCAGTAATCCAGTGATTTGCAATAATAAATGCATGGATTTAAATTCTGGATATACAGTATGTTGATTTAAACAGATAGTCTTGATTTAATTCTTCCATTTATAATTTAGCATAGTATAAAATTCAGCTGTATTGAAAATAAAAATTATCAGAACAGGGAAACTTCAGCTTTGCCGAAATCTGATTGTAACAATGAGTATTGTAAACTTAGACAAAATGTTAGACCAGTATTTAGGGTCTCCACATGATTCTTGAACAGAGATTTCGATGAACCTTCTGAAATTTCTATCAATGTAGGTGATAGAGAACGTGATGATTTATATGTTCATTCAGATATAGATGATGATAGTGTGTCTGGAAATAGTCCAGTGAAAGAGAACACTAATCAATTCTTGAACTTTAAAGGGGAAAGATATTCTAAACATGTACATTATGAGAAGGTACAAGTTCAAAATATTGATAAAACAAAGTCTGATGAAACACAGACAATGACTAATATGCTATCTCATATTTTAAGTAAAGACCTAAGCAAGTGAAAGTCTACAGTTCGATTTCTAAATTAGGCACATTGTCAAGTTAAAAAAATTTACGTGAATTCTTGGCATTGTAAGTATCCAGTACATCTCTCAGCATATAAAGAGGAGTACAAAAACATGACAAAAATAACTGAATAAGGGAAACTTGTTTCTTCAAAGTCAGATGTAAAAACCAAATAAGGAAAGTATAACTTGCTTATGTCAATTAATTTATTTTAATAATTGAGGAAAAACAAGTAATGACTTGGTCTTCCTATATACTTCACAGACTTCATTTTCATAGAATGTCATGTTCAGAAGGGGAAAAAAATGAGAAAAATAATATGTACCACTCACTTTCATATTTTGCAAATTATTATATATTTACATTGTAGGTATTAATAAATGGGGAATGTATCCATGGGACACAGATGATGCCCCTGCTTGCATATCATATAAAGTTATAAAGGGACATAACTGCAGAAAGGTAAAAGTGACTCTACCCAAATTTTTACTTGATCTGAGTTTTGTGGTAATAAGTATTGTGTATAAGTTTCATAACATTTGGTTGAGGCAAACTTAAGTTAGAGAACGTATACGAAAAATTCAGCAATTTTTCCCTTTGTAAAGGGGCATAACTCTAGAACGGTAAAAGTGACACCACCAAAATTCAAACTTGATCTGTGTTTTGTGGTAATAAGCGTTTTGTATAATATTTGTTTCATAACATTTGGTTGAGGCAAACTAAAGTTAGAGAACGGAAACCAACTTGTGGATGTACGTACGTATGTACGGACAAGGGTAAAACTTAATGCCCCCTCTGCTACGGCGGGGTCATAAGAATCTCATATTTTTCTTTATTAGCTTTTTCTTCTAAATATACTTTTTTGTTGTCAAAAATAATGTAAATCATTCTACTCAGGTTATTTTGATGGGATAAACATCATGAAGCAGATAAGTTTAAACATCCTTCATCTGGGTGTTTTTTGCAATGGGAGTAGATTTTCTAATACACGAAAAGTATTCTATATATAATGTAATTGTACCAGGTAAGTATATTTAACTAACAAATTCACATGAAATATAAAAACAAAGGATATGGGGTATCCATCCATGACACAAAATCAGTATATACACAACAAAAAACACACAAAAAGCAAAGGAACTGTGCTCTTATTGCAGTTCTTCATCTTCATTCAAAAATATCAATTTTTTTGTATTAGACACTTCACTAGTAAATAGGAATATTGACATAATTAAATACAAGTTCTACAAAGACAATGACTCACAGAAATTGTTGACCACCAGTATGTCTCATCATGTGGATTTTCTTTGTCTTTAAAGTTGTGAACCTTTTATCACAATGTTCACATTCAAAAGGTTTAATTCCTGTGTGTTCATATACATGTGCTGCAATAAAAACATATAGCATAAGTTTAATATCAAATTCATGTGTGTTCATATACATGTGCTGCAATAAAAACATATAGTATAAGTTTAATATCAAATTCATGTGTGTTCATATAAATGTGCTGCAATAAAAACATATAGTAAAAATTCTTATTTGAAATTAATTATTGACACAGAGATATGAATTGCCTGTGTAATATGTAAACTATACTAAAGTCAGAAAGTCAATAAACAATGACTGAGGGACAGACTTAAATAATCAATATTGAAATGAGATGTGCCAATGGCATTACAACTGCATACAGAATACTGTAAATTCAGAAATTATTGCGATGTTTGAAGAATAGGCATAAATGCGAGATTTCAGGAAAATATACATACAGACATATGTATCAAATATCAGAATGCAAGTTCTTATTACTGTGATACTCACCCAGTGGCATTATTCACAATAATTAAAACCTCACAATAATTTCTGAATTTACAGTATTAAAGGGAAACTTCGCAAAAAAATGAAAATTTTATATTATGTTTATTTGATATAAATATTCATATATTCATTAAAATTAATGTTTAATTCTTCTCGATAAGTGATTAAAATAAAAATTAAAATCCCACTATCACTTCCGGACTTATCGCCATTTTGACGGCATCTCCGATACAAATTGTCACGTGATGAGTTTATTTGAATAAAATATCTTAATACCACAAAATCAAAAAACAAGCATGGCATATCGTACATTCAGTGTCAAAATGACTTGTCAAGCGTACGGATGTTCAACTCGGAGTTCAGATGGCATAAGCTTACACACTTTCCCGGATCCTGCAAAAAAGAAAGAGTTGTACCAGACGTGGATGATTAACCTTAACCTAACACCAACCAGCTTCACTCACAACAAGTTCAAGAAGGTGTGTGCAGACCATTTTGAAGCATCTTGTTTCGATGGAAATTTGATGGTAATTATGATTTTTTCTCATGAATGTTTTTATTGTTATCTCGTTCTAAACCTGGTTGAAAAGAAAACCTTGTTGAATGGAAATTGTCAGATTAATATAGTTCAGTATTTCTGCATTCATGCATTAGTAACCGATTTCTCGTTTTCATGTACACGTTTGGTAAACGGATAAAAAGTCACAAAAAAATTGTTGATAATTATTTGAAAATACAAGAGAAAAATCTTGAAATATTATCTTTTTATTACATATTTTCATTTTTAAGTTTAGGAAATTCATTATAAGCCTTAAAAATAAAAAGTTATTTGATTTTAATCATGCAAAGGATATATATTTCTTGGCACAATGAAGCCATGTAAGGTACCTAGCCACTTTGACATTTTGATTTTATAACAATTATTTGATCATTATTGATATTTATTGAATAAATTTCAGTTACAAACTTGCTTCAAATATAATATTTCAAGAACAAACAAAAAAAAACTAAAAATTTTAATTTATGTTTCATCGTTCAAAGAAAAATAAACACGAAACTGAATTATGACGTTTTGTCTTGTGACTTTCTGTCCTACATTCACAAGTTCAATGAAGTATGTTTTTGTTTTTAGGTGCTAAAAACGTATGTACACATATATAATATGTAAAGCATTTAAAGATTCATTTGTGTAATATAACAATGCTTTAAAAATAAGGTTTTATTTATATAATATAGAACCTTATGTAGTATAATTACAGATGCTGTTTAAACCCCCCCCCCCCCCCCCCCACTTTTTTATATTGTGATATATAAAAGGTTCAAGAGGTGATGGGTAGGTGGGAGCGTATGTCAACCCGGATTCGTGGGGAAACTTAATAGGTCTTATCGCCCCTCGTTATGCTTAGCTGTCTACTAGTACAATCCAGTTGCGTAGTCATAGAAGATGGTAATTTAACAAGTTAAGGCTAAGCAGTTTCGTGATAGAAAATGTCGACAGGTCGGCTAGCGATATTTGTAATGATTTATGGTCAATCGAAAAGGAGTATTTTTTTCTTCGTAGATTTATGATAACAAGTTAATATATAGGAATACATCTAGTGGGGCGGACACTAATTTGGAAGTTGTAAAAGCTTAAATATAATGAGATTAAAAGGTGTCTGTAGCGATTTTCGACTTTTTGAAATGCCATGCCAAAAACTATCTTTCATATGTAATACATTTTATTCATTTCGGGTTCTTCCTAATTTGAATTATTGCCAGAGGTCATGTAAAAGTGTCACATTCAGGTATTCTAGTGACTTCCTGGAGGGCTCATAAACTGGTGACATTACGCAGCTCTTCCCAGCTGAGTGACCCAGGTGTGCACAGGTAAAAATGTCATCGAAAATGCTGTCAGGTGTATTATACATCCTGTTTACAATTTGTGTCCCTAATCTGATTGAAATACACAAAACCGTACAAATATGAAATTAAGAGTTTAAAATTTATATCCACAGGCTGTCTAATTCTAACATGTGCAAAGACAGAAATAATTAGACCGTAAATTATTAATTTTGACTTCGGTTTCAAAATTAAGTATAGAAGATTATAAAATGATTTTTTTTTTAAATTTCAATTGTACAAGGAATTTATTTTTGTACACCATAAGTCACATAATAATTTGTCAGCTTGTTTTATTTGCTTAGCAAATGTTTATAATTAGTTATGATCTTGAGTTGTGATAAATAATTTAAGAAAAAATCATACTGCATCATTTTACAACATTGTTTTGAGTTAATCCTAGAGAATTTAACCGAGAAATTATGGGTAACTGTCCGCCATACTTTCTTGTCCTATTTCCAATATGAGCGGCCGCATTTACGAAATATTTTGGCTATTAGGAACTTTGCGTATACTTGGATTGAAAAGACATGCATGCACGATTATGACATCAAGATGATATTTAGTTCGTGGCCTGCATCGAGGACGTGCGGTAATCATTTGTCTTTCTGTACATTCAATTACTTCAATATAGGAGTTGTCATTTTTATCAATATAAGATTTTGAGAATTAAATGGAATGATGTAGATTTTTGGTGTATAAAAAGTAGGTTTGCTTTATTTTTGACCATTATTTTTTTGAATATGCTAAAGCAATTTTTTAAGAAAAAAACCCGACCTTTGTGTGCTTGTTTCGCGACAGAAGTTGGCCAATGTATATATATAGGTACAATTTACTATTTTAAATTGTTTCCCATGACAAACTTAGTATGGTTAATTATCTATTCGTGCTAGGATTTCACGTAAGATTAACATGTATAATTATAATGCCATTCCAAATTGATATACCTGGTCAAATAGTATATTTGTTGAACGAATTTACTTTCAAAATATAGTGCACAGAACATTTATAGTGATAGTATTTTAACGATATTTATAATTTACGAAGAAAATACCCTAAATAGTTTATTGCTCTCAAAAGTGACGAGCATTGAGTCCCCATGAATATATGTATTATCTTCTAAATTCTCTGCCTCGCACAAAAGTTGCAAGGTAAACGGAAAGAAAGTCACATAACTGATAGACCAACAAGTCGCAATTGCTTATAAAATATTATATATTTATATTAGAAATATATTGAAGTAATTTCTTTTTATATGACAAATTCATTTTACAGTTTCAAAATATAATTAATCTGCATTACCCTGCATTCAAAAGAATTTAACCCCGCCACATTCTGTATGTGCCTGTCTGGAGACTGTAATTCAGTGTTGGGTGTTTGTTACTGTGTAACATACATGTATTTGTTTTTTGTTCATTAGTTCGTACATAAATAAGGCCGTTATTTTTCTCTTTGAATTTTTTTTACATTTGTCCTTTGCAGTGGCGGCACCAGGATTTTGGAAATGGGGGGGGATAAGTAATTGATTTTCGCCGAGCGGAGCGAGGCGAAAAAATTTTTGGACCTTTTTTTGGCTAAAAAACATAAGATAAGTGTAAAATGCACTTTCTTAACGGTTCCTGACGTGGGGCATGTATATTTTATAGTCAAAGTGTAAGGGTTGGACATTTTTTATACTGTATTCTCCCCATTAATTGTCTATTATAAAATGATTGGATGGATCCAAAGCTTAGTATTAATATATTTGATGCAGAAAAGATCAGTGTGTTATTTCTAGATGCCGAATTGGTCATACTAGAGTGACACACGAGTATCTTTTAAAAAATGAAGATGAACCACAATTTGTACCTTGCAACTGCAAGTATACTATTAAACATGTTTTAATTAATTGTATTGACTTTGCTGATATTCGGAAGAAGCATTTCAATGTCAATAATATGTATGATTTATTTAATAATGTTCCATTTACAAATATTGTTTCATTCTTAAAAGAAATTGGAATATATTATAAAATATAAAAAATGTTGTTATATTTAAAACGATTTTAATTTTTATCACGTTATCTTAGTGTTGATTTTTATTTGTAAATAATCAATTTGCTTTAGTCTAGAATTTTAGTTTATTGAAAGACCTTTTGTCTGATTTTAAAAGTTGTTATAATATTCGAATTAGCTCTCGCCGCGATATAGCCTTTCTGTGCTAATGCGGCGTAAAGCAAACAATAATCAATCAATCAATATATTTGATGTGGGACTTGTCAGTAAAAAATGGACATGGAAAATATCTTTATAAGAAAAGAATTGTCGCATAAAAATTAAATACACGGGACATGGCAAAGTTCACGGTCTAGTATGATTAATCATTTTACAAAAAAAATAGTGCAAGAAAAAGGGGGCCGTACGCCCTCTGCGCCCCCTCTGGTTCCGCCACTGCTTTGGTGCATCTAACAGCAGTGGCTATGCGATACAGGCTGCGCTCATATAAGAACGCCGTACGGTGAACTAGAATTGTTAATTTAGGTGCAATTTAGTCTCTTGTAGAGAGTAGTCTCATCGGCAATCAAACCACATCTTTTTATTTTTTATATTGTATAACATGAAGATTTATAAATGATAAAATTGTTTGACACCATGTTACCAGTTATTCAAAAACAGTTTCAACAGCATTTAATTGATCAATATCAAATTTT